AGTTTACATCCGTATTGATACAAGTGAATCGTTCTTTAACCATATACATATCAAATAGGAATGGTTGAAATCAGCCCATATCAAGAAGCAACATGTGCGCGCACACACACACACACACAGGTCCCATAGGGTAGATAATCAGACGAATTGACACTAGCGAACAACTGCACATCTGTCGACGCTGCGTTAGAGCAACGAGAAGCAGGAAACAAACGCAGGTAATAGCAGATGTATCAGACAATTCATGATGTTCGTTTGGAACAAGTGAACCCAACTAACTTCCTAGTGATCACATGATCGGAGGTCTTATTTGGGTCAATATATGTGGTGTGGATAATCACCGGGAAAGTACAAACAAACGGAGAAGAGTGCACCCTCAATAGCGATAAATTTCAAGGTTGTAGTCTGCAGTAACGAGCAACCAAACACAATGATGTTTTTGATGTAAGGAATGGGTGAACGAGCCAGCGAACTTGACTGTTTAGCAAAACAACAACGAAAGGGAATTATAGACACCAACTCATAAGGTGGGGTAAGGAAGATCGCTAAGGCCCATGATAATAGCGTGCCGGCTTGTGGCGAAACAGTAACAGAAAATGATCTAAACAGTGGTGAAACAGTGAGTTTCAGCCCAAAAGAACAGTAAATGCTCGCTGTTTGAAGAGAGATTGAGGCACTTCAGAATTCACGACCGTATTCACTATTTCGTCGACGCTCTGTTTAATGTGGCAGTGACAATACCTTTTTGCCAACAGCCAGATTTACCTGCACAAATAACAGTTGGCGTACATGGGCAATGCTACACCTGTTTTACTCAAAGCTGAGTTCACAGCTGATGCAGACAACGAACCACGTGTATTCCACCTATAACTAGAAAAACCATGAGTTACAGTACCAGGACGGCAAACGGAAATTTACTTGGTTTCAACTACACAAATGAAGAAAGAAAAAAAACAGGACTCGCACGTAGTGAAACACAATTCAGAGCGATCTATTTTTCAGCAAAACAACTCTGCTTAGAAATGGGATAACTTTGAACACATTTTCTCCATCAACTATCAAAAACGTATTTGAATTTATGAGAGAGCAAATTATATCAATCATACTTGTCAAAAATTACTCACCTAATGAACAGGATGAGGTGCTAGTAATCCTTTGTTCATGGATCCTACACATTTTTACATCGCATAGCCTAGCTGAGGACAAATTGGTATCGGGGATAAGGATTCGTAAAAAATTGCTAATCAAGCGATTTTCACAGTGTCCTACAAATTGTATCAATCAAAGCACTTCAAATCATTAGATCACTGAATGCAACCAGTAAAGTAGCAGCACAGTGTAGTTTTCTTCGTGACCGTATGCAAAGTCTACACCACTTTCAGATGTGTGCTGAAACAGTGTAGAGCACAAAACCTGTGTGAGATCAAAGAGTGTGCACTTGCGATCAGTTTAATCTGCTGGTCCGTGATAATACTTATCATTTATTACTTATATATTTACAACCCACTTAGGAACAAGCACGGTGGGAATGTGACAACAATGATGATAGGAAGAAAAATCCGGGATCCGGATTCAAAGGAGGAATGACGTGAAGAACAATTATCGAGAACATAGAGGAAAGCAAAAGTGTGCTTTTTCTGTATGCTTCATCCCACACCCTTCGAGCCAAGGATTATTTCTCTCAACGTGTCTAACCAACGACAGCCCTCGTCCCTTGGGCCTAACCTGGAAGGTGGGCAGCACCCAATAAAGCCAAAACTTAAGCCAACTTATTTATACCTCTACGACCGCCGCGATATTTCCTCCAGCACTCAACACACGATGACGAAGCCCCACTGTTCACAAGGTGGTTCCACCAGGCACGAGCAATGCTTCGAAGATATAGGTGGTCGAATACACAAAGTTGATTAGCATACTTAACGTACAGAAGACAGATCTCACAAACACAAAGCAAAACACTAAAAACCGTGGCGATGTACGCCATTCCCTTAAAGAAAAGTTGGATACGACGGCGGCGCCACCGGTGTCCAAGGTCGGTAAAAGCTATCCTAGCTTCTGCTGTTCAGTATGTGATCTCTTACCAAATGCTACCCCAGCCACGGTCAAGCCTTCGAGATACCTAGAGCCCTCCAATACTTAAAACTGATTACCACAAAGAATGAGTGCAGGCACATACTTCTGCCAGTCTTGTACGAGCACTTTGCAAAGCGCATGCCATATCTAGATACCTCAATCGCCAAGCGAGGTCAGTGAGTGGCGGACTGTAAATGCGAATGTGACTGTATTATTACACACCGTCGTGTGATGAACGGTATTTGGAATAAAATCCAATCACAAAAATCTACGGTTCCCTTGTAATAACTAACCTAGGCCCTGAAATCCGGGGAGGCGATGCACATGGCCCCCAGAGGCATAATATTGAGCCCAACGGCAACAAATCTGATTGTCACCAAAGATGGGTGTGGATGGTAAACTGTGAACCTCAGATTTAATGGACGAAAGCATCCTAGTGACAGCCATTTAGACCGCTTGATCACCACAGTCAAGACTTGTCATATCATCGTTAAGTGAGTGAACTGTGATTTTGCTAATTACGGTTAATTATCAAGGTAGTTACACTTGTACTTAGAATCCGGAGGTCTGGTCAATTCCTTTATCATCAGTCCGACGGTTAGTTATGTTGAGCCCGTCCATGATTTAACCTGTTCTAAATCGGATCCGATTAAAGCGGATCATAGCCGTGAGAATCTGCTAAACAGCAATTACGGACGGGATAGAGGACAAACCATGAAGAACTGCATATTTGTGAAAAAGATTGGGCTAAAAAGCAGACTAAAAAGGTACGGTGTTCGAACCAGCTCAACAAGAGAGCGATTTAGGGGAGATTAAAAAGATGCTTATTAGTATTCCGAAGAAACTTGAATTATTCAGACCACCGCTGATAACCTACCGGGGAGCACCGGCGGATGGTGCGCAGGGACCAATAGGAAGACCCGAAGGCTGGATTGTATTGTTCATGGCTGCGGCAGCTGCGGCATTTGTCTCCCGAGCCACAGTCATTTGAGCTGCAGCCTCCGCNCGCTAGACGACACTGATAGCGTGTGAGAAGATGCGGCATACACAGGGCCATTCCACTGGCATGCGTGGGAGAAGAACCGGTACTTGAGGAGTGTAACGAAGCAGTCAAGTCCTCCTGGGAGCTAATCCCAGAATCCGGAGCATCACCACCTATGCTGACTGCTGATCCGGATTTCCGACGTGTCTTGCTATTCATTCGGCACTATGGGATATGACCGGGAGCAAATACAAGCTCGGTTATAGAAACAAAAACCGCATGCGCCCAAAATGAGAGGACTAAGCCGGGGGGAATGTTTGATTATGAAATAAGATAGTGGTAGGAGAAAGCTACGATGAGTTCGCCTAAGATCAGACAAGCCAAATATGGTTTGGGAAGAAACAGACGACACGCATTTACTATATCATCTAACCATAGTAAAGTAATCAAAACTGGTAGTGGTAGGACGCTCTAGACTCCCAGGTTGGGGTCCCAAGGACAGAGAACATCTATGGTTTGATATACTTGCAGACATGGCTGGTAGCCGGCGGTAATGGCACACCTGCTGCGAGACTCTGATTCGTTGATCTACATTTAAACCGTTCTCACATCTCTTTCTTCATGTGTTATGGCACATCTGCCAATTCTATGTAATTGACTACGTGTTAAATATAAAATATATAATCAAAATCAGATAGTTGACGTGGTTTCTTAACATACGCCACACGGACTCGTCATGAGGAAACGAGTACTTCACATCCTAATACTTGGTGTGAAGAAATCCGTGAGTCTTTATTGGGAAGCGTGCAGTGGTTATTTATTATTAGCAGTGCGTAGGATTATTAGAGACAATCATACGGGGGCATAACCGGGTCGGTGAACCCCTCGTCGTTCACCAAGGGTAAGTGGTGAAAAACTCTGATTCCAAACCAACCAGGAAGAGATGTAGCAACCAAACCCATACGTTCCTGGTTCTGGATGTAGTCAGCAGCTCACTGAAAATAGAGGTGTAGTGGACATCTTGGATGTTTGACCCCAATGGATTGCGATATTCACACCACCCGGTTGTCATACGGGTAGGCTTTGGTTAGCCAAGGCTTCGGTTGTGAATCTCTCAAAGAAAATTCATTCTTTGACCTGAGCAATCTGGATTCACACACGTTGTATATATATATATATATATATATATATATATCAACACACTAGTTTGATGACTTAACCATTTTGAGGAGTCTTGTGAGATTAGCGGGAAGAACTTGAAGTCACTATTATATTAAGGGCTTATGCCAATTTTCGAAATTACATTTGTGATAAACAGTCCCAATTGAATAATGGTTTAAAAAACGGATTAAAAAACTTTCTAACTCACCCGTCGTCGTTGANGATGTTCTAATTCAAACAAATCAGCTTTGCCTAGATCTGGAACCGATTCATTGGACGATGATAAAGAAGTGTATCGCAGAAAGTAAGTCGCGAAGTATAGCAGCGCGAGTAAATACTTTCGTGACTGTCCACTCAATACGGTGCAGTTAAAAATCGCCCCGCCTAACGACTCGAAATTCAGATTCAAACAACCGCCTTGTGTGAGCAGTTGATCAAGGAGCATATTTGGAGTGGACGAGCAACCAGACAAATGCAATGGCGTGATGGGTACATTGACCTGAAAATAAAAAAGGGAAGTGGGTACTTAGGAGTAAATGGCGTAAAAAAACACCAGATATTTGACAGTTACTAATATCTTAGCAGTAAATTGGGCTGCAAAACGCGACAGCCATCCTGTTCACGGTCGACAACATAGGGTGATATGACCGAGTGACGCAGATGATAATCGCGAGTTTGTCTTCTAATCTATCATATCTAGTCTTTGTTCGACAAGGTATTGGAAGTCAAAAACAGGATAGTCGTGTGCTGTGTTCATTGCTCGAAGAAATTAACTAAATTAGCATTGGTGAACCAAAACTAGGTCAAAGAGTATCCAGTGACCGGATCATGGAGAGACCCCACAGAGAGGTCGGGAAGCACTGCGAGGCGATTTTATGAAAGTGCAATGTTGACGAATATCTAAATGTTGCTGGTAAATTGATAACTGGAAGAAAAAATCACGAATCACTTGCAAGTTAATCACGCATGCCCATTGCAGTTACAACAGACACGTCTGATTTTTAGCCAAATACCTGGGCTCAACCATGCTGCTCAACGGTCAAGCTAAAGAGGAGGTACAAGTGCGAATCGATGCTGCAAGGTGTTTCTACAGCTGAGGAAATGAAATCAGCCTACAGACAAAAATACGAGTTTTCTCCGCAGCTACCCGTCCTGTCTTGCTGTACGGTTGCGAAACCTGGCCACTCAGAGTCGAAGACTGCCAACAATTAGAAGTCTTCAATCACGGGTGCAAATCATGCAACGTCTTTCTTTTTCATAAAGATTATTGTAGCATGATTTGTTTGGCGCACGGTCTGGATTCAGACGTGTATGAAAATAATTTCAAAAAAACTGGGATTTCGATGGAGGGAACGGCTCTTAAATGAAACAGCCAGAAACCGATAAGTTAGTCTTATACGACCGTGAACTCTAATGCAGCGGAGGCGAATACAATGGTTCGGTCATATAATTCGTAAACTCGATAACGACCTGACCAAATCTACCTTGGTACCGTCTCCCTACCCGAACTGGTGCTGTCGATATGGTGGACAGCTGAAAACCCGGCTAGACACGGTGTGTGAGGATACAGAAAACCTTGGTTTCCGCTTCGTCTATGGCGATTGCCAATGGAAGTCAAGTTGGATCACAATCTGCGCTGATCTTGCAATAGACTGTCGAGCGGGGTCAGTGGCAATTTGGTATGTCCACGAAACTGGTTTCACCTCCCCCAGGAGCCAGCCGCCGTAAAGTAGTGAGTGAAGTAAGTAATTCACTAAAGTATCGTGTAAGGAACTATTCGGAGCGCGCCCCTTGAACGGCTGCGCCACCGTCGTGTTCTGGAATTTATCTACCCAAATTGCTACATGTGTGCTTTAACCATATACACAAAGGAATTCATGTTAAAAATTACGAATGTTATTGTAAAAAACCATATTGCCGTGTTTAGAGTGCCAGTTGCTGGTCAAGTGCACAAATACTGCAAACACAGAAAACGTATTCGTGCCGGCTGGCAAATCGCCCTTGGTCGTACTACTCCCAGAAAGATGACCGTACCTACCATTGTGAGTAACAATGTTCGTTCTGTGTTTGGGAAGCTTCCG